ACTCAGTTTTTCACATGCAAATGTGATAATCTCCCACCTAAAAAAAAAAAAAAGAAAATTCTAGATCATATGCTGTTAGCACAATATAAACATGTTGAGGGTAAAGTTGTTTGATACCCCCGTCAAAAGAAAACGGAAAATAATTAAAGGTATAAAAACATGTTTGTTTTTTACCGTGACATAAATTTAAAATAAATTGATAACATTTTTAGGTTGTTTAAGGTATTTAGTCTGGTTTCCGTGTCTGCGTGTCGCAGTTGACGCAGATATGCCCCCCCCTTTTGCGGAGACTCTGTTGTGTGTGTTTTTCTGTGTGTAGCGTGTTTTTTGCTCTGAGACCCGGTGTTCTGTGTGTGACACTCTGGTGCACCTCCCCAAAATTTTAGGTGACCATAGATAGCGCCGCAGATAGGAGGCCTCTGATTGGTCAGTTCTACATCCGCTCTACACTATGCGTATTTCCTGTTTGGTACCTAATGGCAGAAACTCTGGCTGTAGTTCTGTCCACAACGCCTGGCTCACCTCGGACACTATCCCAGACACCGTGCAGGACGCTAGTTTGTAGCTCTGTGCAACGACTGTTGCTCTTCACCTGAACGGCCAGTCTTTGGGGAACACTCACGGGTGAACTGTGTGTCGTCCGGCGTTGGATAAGGGGTTGTAGATGGCGAACAAGCTCATTAAACCGACACACAGACGCCCACAATCCTAGCTAGTTCCTGATTGTCTCTCTTTCGTTGTGACCACGCCTCAACATTGGGCATAAATCTAAAATATCTGCGTCATACCTGCGACAAGCTAACTGCGACACACTGCTGCAGGAGGATAACCAGCCCTTTATTCTTTTAAATTACAAATGATCTAGAAATCAACAATTAACAATAATCAAATATGCAAACAACACTAGTATCTAGTATTGATATTATTAGACTTAGATTTTATTTTGTCACTTTGTACACAAGTGGAAACAAAAAGAAATTTTTTTAAGTAAAGCTCTGTAGACTATTTCCTTTTTTAAGTGCAGGTGAGCAGCAGTGATAAAAACATTTTGATGAAAAAAAGCGACGTAAACAAATGACTGTATAGTTACAGTTCCAACAATTCAAGTTTTTTCTTTTTTTTATAACCCATTTTACATAAAATTTAGCCGTCTAACGATAATATTATGCCAGACTAGTATTGTACAGTGACTTATTTTACTCTGCACTTCGACCAATGGTATAAAGTGGGCTGCTCAGTGTCGCAGTGTGTAGCACTGCTGCCTTGTGGCAAGAAGGTTCCGGGTTCGATTCCCGGTGCCGGGTCTTTCTGCATGGAGTTTGCATGTTCTCCCTGTACATGCATGGGTTCTCTCGGGGTACTCCGGCTTCCTCCCACAGTCCAAAAAAAAAAATTCTCCTTAGGTGTGAGTGTGTGTGTGAAAAGTTGTCCTGTTTGTCTCTTTGTTGCTCTGCGATGGACTGAAGACCTGTCCAGGATGGACCCTGCCTCTCATCTGTAGACAGCTGGAGAAAGAGCACCCCCCGCCACCCCGCCTGGGATAAGCGTGACAGAAAATGGATGGATGGACAATTTGAACAGAAAAACCTTCAAATATTTTCCAAAATGTGAGGCAAACTCATCGAGCCGACAGGAATTTTCTCAAAAGGAAGAAAAAATTTAAAGAGATGTTTTTTTTCTTCTGTTCCTTTACTTTAAGACTCATCTTTTAGATTCCAGAGATTCTAAAAAGTGTTTAGAAATAAAACAAAACCTGCCCATGAATGTCCTTAAATATATTCTCTTTAATCTTTAGACTCGCTTTTATTACATACAAAACTAACAAAGCATTTCTGTGGAGCTGGTTGACAGTTGCTTTTTGTATCTCTGCT